GGATCCCATTAATGGTGATAACCTAGGTTTTACTGGATTTTTCTCTTATCTGTTCACAGGGGATGTAAGTATCTTGAGGCACCCCCTACTCCCTCCTTCCATTCTCCACATGCATTTGGGAGAAATCCCCTTAAAGAGTAGGGTGTCAGCCTCAAATGAACAGCATCTGCTCTGCTTTCCACTGGCTCTGGCTGGACACAGCAGTCCCCGCCTAGCATCTGCCAGGTGTTGCTTTATTGGATAGCACTGCTTTCTTCTAAAGGACTGTGGTCCCCGGCTGGCATCCACCAGGTGCCCCCGTATCCTTAGGGCACCACCACCACCCATGGGAGTTGTTATTTCCTGCTGTAACTGAAGCTCTGGACTTTACAAGATTCCAAAGCTGCACATTGTCCTGTTTACACAACGAACTCTTCCTTTCCCTGTTGGCTTACACTTTGTTAAAAGCAGTGGGGCAGTGCTGGTTATGGCAACATCTTACAGGTATTTTAGTGAAACAGTGGAAAGTGCCGCTCCTCCCCAGTGATGGTGGCTTTTTTATAGGTCAAGTTAAAGCAGGAATCCTTCCTGCATGACTGTTTTCTCTCAGAGGCTCCTCGGTCTCTGTCAGATTGGCTTCACATATGCCCACACATGTCTGAGATGCAGATTAAGTGCCAGTTGGAACTTCTATTACATAAAGATCCTAAGTGTACGTGATGGAACTCCAAAATTAACATCTACCAGTCACATGATACCTTTGGGGAAAGCATGATTAATCAGTACCTGCTGTCTTCCCACACGTCCTGTTCCCTCTTCACAAGAGGGAACTTCTTTTTGGAAATTCACTTTCTTAATAGGTTTCAATCTTCAGGATGTTCTCTTTAAGTTTCCCTAACCCATATACCCATAAGCTAAATATCAAGAGGTTTATTTTCTCTAGAATTAAAAAATAAATAGGAGGGAAAAAGGGGGCATATGTAATACTTTCAACAATAAGGATTTATTTTTAAGAAATAATAAATAAATAGGTCTGCCATATCATATCTCATTCCTCACCACCAGATGGAGGTATTCCCTTTCCTGGTTCCTTTAAGTACTGTGCTGGAATCACTGGCAGGTTTTTGAATGAAGAGGACACTTTAAGGCCTAAGTTTATTCTCCCCCTTATTCTTTTTTGGTCTAACAACTCTTGATTGTCAATCTTTGGCATCTTAAAGCTCAATACTCTTTCTACCTCATGATTTTGATCTGATGATTAAAAGAACAGCATTACCTGGGGCTCAACCAAACCTGCATTTATAGCTTAGACTAGAGGCCTGGTGCACAAAATTCATGCATGGGTAGGGTCCCTAGGCCTGGCTGGCGATCAGGGCTGATCTGTGGGGTGATGGGTGGGGCGATCGGGGGGCCCCCACTGGCACCTGCCTTGGCTGGCCTGGGGCCTGCGGGCTGGGGGCAGCTCCTGTGTTGAGCATCTTCCCCCTGATGGTAAGTGTGTGTCATAGTGACCGGTTGTTCCACCATTCAGTTGATTTGCATATTAGGCTTTTATTATATAGGATACTGTCAAAGACTGCTATCAAATAATGGACAGCACGTTCTAGACCTTGGCTTTCTGATAGCATTGTTTGGCAGGTTCAGTACACAAAAGTTAATTTTTGTCAGTCAGAGTCAACATATATATGAAGATCTAGCACAGGGGTCCTCAATCTTTTTAAACAGGGGGCCAGTTCACTGTCCCTCAGACCGTTAGAGGGCCGGACTATAGTTTAAAAAAAAACTATGAACAAATTCCTTTGCACACTGCACATATCTTATTTTGAAGTAAAAAAACAAACTGGGAACAAATACAATGTTTGTATTTGCATGTGGCCCATGGGCCGTAGTTTGAGGACCCCTGATCTAGCATATTATAAATGGATAGTCAGGATAATCACTTTCTAAATAATCTATAATAATAAAAGCATAATATGCTAATTAGACCAGACAGCCAAATGACCTTCGAGACAAGCTTCCAGACGAAGCTGGGGCTGCGAGAGCCAAGCCCCTTGCATGAATTTTGTGCATCAAGGCCTCTAGTTATAATATAACTTTCTCTATAAAAGTAAATGATAAATGGCATATTTGGGGAGAAACCTGTAATTTCACAATCATTAAAGTGTAAATTCTTCATGGTCTAGAGCAGGGGTGGGCAAACTTTTTGACTCGAGGGCCACAATGGGTTCTTAAACTGGACCGGAAGGCCAGAACAAAAGCATGGTTGGAGTGTTTGTGTGAACTAATATAAATTCAAAGTAAACATCATTACATAAAAGGGTACAGTCTTTTTTTTTTTAGTTTTATTCATTTCAAACGGGCCGGATCCGGCCCGCGGGCCGTAGTTTGCCCACGGCTGGTCTAGAGGGATCACTATTAACATGAATCTGAAGGTAATAGAATAGCTCTAGAGCAGGGGTCCTCAAACTTTTTAAACAGGAGGCCAGTTAACTGTCCCTCAGACCGTTGGAGGGCCGGACTATAGTTTAAAAAAAAACTATGAACAAATTCCTATGCACACTGCACATATATTATTTTGAAGTAAAAAAACAAAATGGGAACAAATACAATATTTGTATTTGCATGTGGCCCATGGGCCATAGTTTGAGGACCCCTGCTCTAGAGGAAGATTATGCAATTGGAAACATTTAGTGATGTGTCTAGCCTTCACTGGAAGTTAGGTTAACCTCATTAGCTGCCAGGGATGGTAGTCTATACATATTTGAGGAAATATATCTTTAGATGTTTTTTGAGAAACTGCCTATGTAGACTATATTCCAACAGAGGTTTCCCTGCCCCCTAAAATTTAGATAAAATTGGCTTGAAATTACACACCCTATGGAAAGTCCAATGTCCTAACACTCCTGTGAATTCCTGGAGATTTAAAATTTCACTAGAGGCTCGGTGCACAAAAATTTGTGCATGGGGGGGGGGGGGTCCCTCAGACTGTGCCCTCTTGCAGTCTGGGACCCCTCAGGGGATAACCACCTGCTGGCTTAGGCCCGCTCCCTGGGGGATTGGGCCTAAGCTGGCAGTCAGACATCCCTCTGGCAGCCCGGGAGCCCTTGGGGGATGCCCACTTGCCAGCGGGGAGCAGGCCTAAGCTGCAGTTAGACATCCTTAGCGCTGCTGAGGAGGTGGGAGAGGGTCCCACCACCACCGCTGTACTGGCAGCCGTCAGCCTGGTTTGTGACTGAGCAGAGCTCCCCCTGTAGGAGCGCACTGACCACCAGGGGCAGCTCTTGCATTGAGCATCTGCCCCCTGATGGTCAGTGTGTGTCATAGTGACCAGTCATTCCCAGTCGTTCTGCTATTAGGGTCAATTTGCATATTACCCTTTTATTATATAGGATAGAGGCCTGGTGCATGGGTGGAGGCCAGCTGGTTTGCCCTGAAGGGTGTCCCAGATCAGGGTGGGGGTCCCGCTGGGGTGCCTGGCCAGCCTGGGTGAGTGGCTGATGGCTGTTTGCAGGCTGGCCACAGCCCCTCCAGGGTGGTGGTCCCCCCTGGGGTGCCTGGCCAGCCTGGATGAGTGGCTGATGACTGTTTGCAGGCTGGCCACAGCCCCTTCAGGGTGGGGGTCCCTGCTGGGGTGCCTAGCCAGCCTGGGTGAGGGGCTAATGGCTGTTTGCAGGCTGGCCATGGCCCCAAGCCACCCAAGCTCCCAGTGAAGGCTGGCTGGAAGCAGGTATCTGGGGTTTATTTATCTTCTATAATTGAAAGTTTGTTGCCTTTAGTGGAGGCCACAGCTGGCCAGGGCAGGCAGTAAGCTTGGCTTCCTCCATCACTGGGGCAACCACGCCTCCTGCTTGCTCCAGCTCTGTGGCTGCTGGCTGCCAACTTGGTTGGGTTAGTTTGCATATAGTCACTCTGATTGGCTTGTGGGCATGGCTTGGGGCATAGCGAAGGTATAGTCAATTTGCATGTTTCTCTTTTATTAGATTAGATAGCCACTCTGGCTCTGCCTTTCTAAAATTCTTGGCCCCCACACCTGCCATGAAGTTCAGCACCTTCCTTTCTTTGATTTCTAAGAAAACAAAAACACATATGCAAAGTCAGGGTGAATGTCAAGAGACTTTACTAAAGATTTGGGACATTGGAAAAGGCTTACATTTTGAACAATTTAAATCACATATTAGACATCCTTTCTGTCTTAAGTATTTTGTCAGCCTACTAAATTCCTCACGAATTTAAGTAGGCTCACTCCCAAATTCCTGTATAATTCTCTGTATTTTTATTCCCATCACCTGCTGTTTATGCCCCTTGGGTCTTCTCCTCCAAACATTTTTTCAAGTTTTTCATACACAGAACCTAAGAGGAATGCTGGTGCCAGTTGTAAAGATGATCATGTTCTCACTGACATGCACTTGTACCATACTAGAGGCCCGGTGCACGGATTCATGCACCAGTGGGGTCCCTCGGCCTGGCCTGTGCCCTCTCACAATCCGCGACCCCTTGGGGGATGTCAGATAGCTGGTTTTGGCCCAATCCCCACATGCCCAATCCCTGCTGGCCCAATTCAGACAGGAGGGAGCCCAGTCCTGTGTGTTGAGCATCTGTCCCCTGTTGGTCAGTGCACATCATAGTGACCGGTGGACTGGTTGTTGGGTCATTCGGTCGCTTAGGTTTTTATATATATAGATGGTTATCACAGCCATCCTTTCTAGCCAGGCTTTCTCTGCTGCTCTCTTGACTCGAAGAGGTGATAGCTGGTATGCTAACTGTGATGGTTCTGGTGGCCCAGGAAACTGGAAAAGAGATGGCATTGCATGTTGGACTCACTACAGAAAATGGGGTGGGATATGGTGTGCAGGTACATTTTCATGAGATATTTTGCTGTTGACTAATATTAATTGAACATCTATTCTATAAAGTTCTTCAAGAGAAGCTTACAGAAAAAAAAATCTTGTACATGAGCCTATGGCTGTATCAGAGTTTGAAACTCCTAGAATATTAACAAAGTCTAATTTATCCTCACCCAGGCTGAATGGAGAGAAGAAGTGAAAAAACACTTTGAGAAGATCAAAAGTGAAGGGACTTGTATACACCGCTTGGATGAAGAGCTGATTAGAAGGCGGCGAGAAGAGCTCAGGTCAGCTGCTTTCTCCTCCACCTCTTCGCATCCCCAGGTCTCCAGATGTCAGCAGGAACTCTCTTTGTGAATCACCACTTCACTTTCTACACACCTTTCCCTGTGCTGTTTATTGTTAATTCTCTTTCCGATTTGCTCGCCTTTATATCACTGGCTTATCCTCCCCTCCTTGGCCCGTGCCACTCTGTTATCCTCTTTCATTGTATCTCTGCAATGAAGATTCCCAGAGCAATGCTATTTGTTCACTCAGCCCCTGTCCTAAGTGACACGGAAGGCCAGAAACTTATAAGATGTAGTCCCTGGTCTCAAGATGGTTATAATCTTTTAAGGGATGCAAGATATGTTCATAGATAACCACTATAATGAGGCAGGATCTGTGCCACAGATAAGTATAAATGAGTGATCATGGTATCAGCTCCCAACTGCATATTTCCATTAACAATGAGCTATACTGTATTCTTATTATGATATTGTCAATACTACACAAAGGCTACAAATTATGCACAAATCCCATTCACACTTTATCTGTGACCTCCTGGCTATTCTGTATGGCTAGATATGGCCCCTAAGGATAAACCAAATAGAAAGCTTAGATTTTCCATCTCCCACTCCATCTTGGCTGAGTCATTGCATTGGACAAGGGAGCTTTTAATCTAGGGCAGTGGTCGGCAAACTGCAGCCCCTTGAGCAGTGATGGCGAACCTATGACACGCGTGTCAGAGGTGGCACGCGAACTCATTTTTTTGGTTGATTTTTCTTTGTTAAATGGCATTTAAATATATGAAATAAATATCAAAAATATAAGTCTTTGTTTTACTATGGTTGCAAATATCAAAAAATTTCTATATGTGACACAGCACCAGAGTTAAGTTAGGGTTTTTCAAAATGCTGACACGCTGAGTTCAAAAGGTTCGCCATCACTGCCCTTGAGTGTGGCTCTTCCACAAAATACCATGTGCGGGTACGCACATATAGTGCAATTGAAACTTCGTGGCCACACTCAAGGGGCCAAAGATCCGCACGTGGCTCGCGAGCCGCAGTTTGCCGACCACTGACCTAGGGGGCCCTTAGGCAAATGCTTTTGAGATCAACCATTCTGGTTCTTACTTCATGAGAGCTGACTTTTGGCCTCCCCCGAGTTGGTTAATTTCACTGATCCTGTGTTTTCTTTGGTAGGCATGCTTTGGATATTCGTGAACACTACGAGAGAAAACTTGAGCGGGCTAATAATTTATACATGGAGCTGAGTGCCATCATGCTGCAGCTGGAAATGCGGGAGAAGGAGCTCATTAAGTATGCATCCAGACCACTGTCTGCCCTTGTTGATGTGGTCTATCCATCAGCAGAAATGTACTGCTCTTCCATGTTGCTGCTACTCAGAACTGGCAGCTGTCTAAGTCATTCATCCAACATTCCTTGGGGGGTGTGCATAGTCCCTGCCCCTGGGGAGGTTTCCCATTGAGTGGAGTTGCCGCAGAGCTGGTTCTAGGGGAGCATGCACTGACAGCTATTTGCCACTTCACCCTGCTGAATGGCTCAAGAAGGGGTGCCGCCCTAACCGGTTTGGCTCAGTGGATAGAGCATCAGCCTGAGGACTCAGGGGTCCCAGGTTCGATTCCGGTCGGGGGCATGTGCCTTGGGTGCGGGCACATCCCCAGTGGGGAGTGTGCAGGAGGCAGCTGATTGATGTTTCTCTCTCATCCATGTTTCTAACTCTCTATCGCTCTCCCTTCCTCTCTGTAAAAAAATCAATAAAATATATTTTAAAAAAAGAAGGGGTGCCATTTCATGGAGAGCTAGATGTTGTTGAGTGGGGGCTTATTGCCCCCTGGGGAAGTGAGGTGGCTTCTGCAAGTGGTTTAGGATATTCCTGAGAATGGCAAGAAAATCCTGGGGTCCTGACCAACACAGCAGCTACTGAAATCAGTAGGACTTCTACCATTGCATTGTGTCTCTCATGAGGTGTACTGTGGAGGGGAAGGTTAGTCTCCAAGTTCATCTATGAGCTGAAGGGAAAAATGAAATCAGATTAGGTTGAATTTAGTATCTTTTTTGTCCCCTTTTTACCCAAATAGCAACCTTGTTATTCAAATGGCCTGCACCTGGTAAGGTGGCCTGACTCTGTGGGTGGAATTAGCCTGTGCAACATTCTGCCCATCTTTTCTGTCTGGGGTGGCTGAGATAGGCCTTTTCTCTTTTTTTGCAGGCGTGAGCAAGCCGTGGAAAAGAAGTATCCTGGGACCTACAAGCGACACCCTGTCCGTCCAATAATCCACCCCAATGCCATGGAGAAGCTCATGAAAAGGAAGGGCGTGCCTCATAAACCTGGGGTGCAGACCAAACGGTGAGACGCTTGTGCTGACCTGGTATTCAGAGAAATGGGGAACTATCTCCCTAAAAATACATTATCAGATGATGGTGGGTGTGGCCACCCTACCTCATCATTAGCACACATGCCTCTAGATAAAACAGAGTGGAAAGCTGAGAGAAAGTGTGTCATGGACCCTAGGGATCCATGCTTTACTATATGAGGCATAGATATTTATTCTCTTAGCATAGAATAGTAAAAAGAGAAATAAACGGGGGGCGGGGGGCGGGGGGCAGACAGACCTGGGTTAGAATACTGGCTACACCCATTATGAGCTGTGTGATTTGGGCCATGTCAGTTGCCCTCTTTCAGCCCCATGGTAAAATGGCATAACTATAGCACATGAGATTTCTTCTTTGTCCCCCAATGCACAGAATTGGGTTAATTATAATTCTCAATTTAGGCAACATTGGTCCACACATGACCCACTTTTATTTATTCATTTAGTTAGTTATTTTAATAATGTAATAAGTGCTCATAAATCCACCACAAAAAAATGAAGGCAGGGACTTCGTGTTTTGTGGGGGTTTTTTTTTCCACTTCACAAATTTTGTGGGTCATCTTTGCACGGGACCATGCTAATCTTCTCTGTATCGCCCAATTTTCGTATATGTGCTACCAAAGCGGCTTTGATAATTACCTCTATCTGCCCATATGGTTCCCCTCATTCCACTCTTGCAGGGGACTTTTGTGAAGTTTAAATAAGACAATATGTGAGGTCACCTAATAAATCACAGGTACTCAAAAAGTGGATTTTTTTTAATAGTTTTTTTTTTAAAGATTGCCCTTTTTCCTAATTATAACACATTTTCCTGATATATTGGCCCTTGAACAATGTGGAGATTAGGAGTGCCAACCACCTGCTTAGTGGGAAATCCACATATAACCTGACTCAGCCCACTACAAACTCGGACCCTAACCACAGATCTAAAATACTGAATTAGTTTAACCTTAAAATGCTCTTCCAGTCAGTGTTTCTTACCAAGTTCTGCAAGAGCCGCATTCCTCCCAAATAGTGGAGAGTTGGTTTTGTCCTAGCTAAATTAATGGAAAGGAAAGAAATGTCCCTAAACCTGGGAGGTGGGCCCAACAGTGAGACGTGAGCGAAATGCAGTAAGAATAAAAGTAATGAAAAATGCAAACCAAGAATCTACTCTAAGCCTTTCAGAAAGGTGGCCCGAGACCATGACTAATGTAAATCTGAACTACTAGTGAGCAATTCCATGGATTAACTCCAGTTTCGTTTTTACTTACCACTCCTATCGCCTGCTCAAGTTCTGAGAAATTGTTTTCAGATAGTACCTGGTAAGACCCTCCTGGAAGCCCAACACCTCTTTCTTTGGGTGACCTAAATAGGGACCAAATTTGCCTGCTGGTCCTCCCTGCATTCTGCCTATAGTTAAAACTAAGAGCATTGGAGTGGGGGGTGGGGGGACAATAGTACCTTTTTTTTCAATATATGAGCTCATGTTTACTTTTACAGAATATGAGCTCATGTGCTGTGGGAAATGTGTTTGAAGGAGTTTGACACCATCAGCAGATGCTTAGTCTACAAGCCAACTGAACTGGTCCAGGAAGTAACCTGGATGGGTACTAGAGCTGTGAAGAGTATTTTCAGCTGTGTTCCCCTTAATGGAGTTAAGTTTCAGATTATTTGGACGGTTCAATGATTATCAAACCAGAAGGCCAGTGACCTTTGAGGGAAGCAGAGAGGAGAAACCACCCACCATCCGTTAGCCTAGCCTTCAGGGTGTGTTTGGTCAAGGACTAGAACGAAGAGAGCCAGAGTTCCATTATGGATCCACTGAGCCTGTCACAAGTGAGGCTAGGCCAATAAGATCGTCTAAATGCCTTGGAATAAGCAGAAGCTTGGAACGGGGAAAGAACTGGTCCTCGGAGTCAAAAGACCTGGGGTCAGTTGTTGAGTTCTGCCATTTACTTGCTTTGTGATGGACACAACTGACCACCCTGATCCCTCAGTGTCTTTCTCTGTAAAACGGACATTGTAATAGTAGGAAACAAGTGGTTTATATAATGCAAAGTGCTTTGTCAACTGTGAAGTTCTGTGTCAATGTTATCCTGTGATGTTTGCGCTGCCAGCTTCAGTGAAAGCAGCCTTCACCTGACGTAGGACACTTTCTCCTCAGCTCTCTTAGTTGCCACCATAGCCAGCCTCTGTGTAAGTAGATGCCCCTGACTGAGCCTTGAGGGCCTTCTTGCCTCAACAAAAGCCCCAGGGCCTCCTCCATCCAGATACCATCTGAGGCACAAGCTGGTCAACTGACCATAGAACTGAATCTGAGACAGGAAGCTGCTGAGAGCAGCACAGTATCTTATCGTAAACCAGCCTTATCGTAAGCCAGTAACTCCTGGAACTTCTGTGCTAAGGCAAGCCTTTTACTGTACTTCTCCTGCAAGAAAGGGAAACCCACCTCCTACTGCCTGGTGCCGGCTAATTTCCTCTAAGCCCTCGCTCTTCAAAGTGTAGGCCCTCAGCTCAGCATCATCCGAGAGCAGGTTAGAAATGCAGACCCTCAGGCCCCATCCCAGACCTACTCAGTCATTTTAACGAACTCTCAAGTAACATGTACGAACCTGCAAACTAGACTGTATCTAATAAGCCAGAGACTTCTGGTCTGCATCCTGCCAGGAACGAGCTATGGGACCAGGAGCCACTTTGGCTGGGCTCTGGGTTCCTCATCACGCAGGGTGGGGGCAGGACTGTATCTGTGTTCCCAAGCAAGGTCTGGGGTACCCTAGGGCCTGCATAGAGAGGACCGCAGGTCCTATTGCAGGGTGGAGAGAACGAGGAGCCCTGCAGGAGGGGCCTCTCCAGCTGTCCCACTAGATCTGCTTCAGATACTGGGCTTCTCCTAATGATTAATTTGAGTAAAGGATTCTGTTGTTAAGAAAACTAGGGGGTGGCCTCCAGCCCTGAAAGGTCCTGCCAGTTTGTATCTGTCTGGCCCCAGAGGAGATGAGGCTAGACTATTTGGACAGTTCAATGGCAGTTCCTTGGTGGGGAGGAGGTAGCAATACTCCCTGGAGTCCTAGAATCTCTGCCTGCATCGCTTCATCGGTTCAGAAAGCACTTACTGCTGACCTACTAGTACGCGCCTTGGAGTCAGTGTGCACAGCGTTCACCTCCGGAGCCGGCTTCCTCCTGGACACGGGCTGCATGGCTGGCCCGGGGGGCGCGTGACAGCGGGGCTGGGAGAGGACTCCTCCCTGTCGGAGCACAGTGCAGTGCCGGGGCCACTCCTCAGGAGCCTTCTCTCGCTGCCTCTGCTCAACCTCCCGGGCTGTCTACCGTTTCCTGTCTTCGGGCTCCACCCCCAAGTCCCCTCTTCCTGAAACATTACTGCGTCCCTACTGTGATCTAGACTCCCTGTTAGTGTCCTTCACAGACAAACATGAATATGGCATAGCCCAGCCCTCAAGAAGACCTGTCTGCACCTGACTCTCTGAACGTAGCCTCTTGCCTCATTATCCCAGGGTGTCCGTCCCTGGTACCAGAACTCTCTCCTCTTTGATCCCCTGTAGGATCTATCCCCATCCATCACTGGACAGATTTCTGGTCGTGGGCAATCGGCCATGCCTGTGTGTTGGCATGTTGGCACCAAGCTGATGACTGATACTATAAGGAGGAGATCCAGAAACCAGTCGGGCAGAGTTAGAGTTTAAAGGGACTGAGCGCCTTGGCAGTGAGGCCCAGAATGAAACCCAGGAGGCATAAGGGGAATCCCCCGTAAGCGGACATCTAGGTAGTTTCCACATTTCTGCTATTTTAAGCAATACATTAACGCAGTGCCTTCAAACACACGTCTTTGCGGACACCCATTTCCTCCGCTGGGTAAATCCCGGGGTGTGGCTGCTGATTCAAACGGTGTGTTTTAAGGCATGGGATAGAGTTCCCCAAACCTGAATATGTGTTTTCATGTGTTTAAAACTAAACCTGCTCTGTTCTTCCAGGCCAGATCTGCTGCGGTCAGAAGGCATCCCCAGTGTGGAGGTGGCTCCCGCTGCGTCCCCCTTGTCCGGAAGCCCCAAAATGTCCACCTCAGGCGGCAAGAGCCGGTACCGGAGCAAACCACGCCACCGCCGGGGGAATAGCCGAGGCAGCCATAGTGACTTTGCAGCAATCTTGAAAAACCAGCCAGCCCCCGAAAACTCACCCCACCCCACGTATCTACACCAGGCTCAACCCCAGCACCCTTCTCTGCAGCAGCAGTACCAGCAGCCCCCTCCCGCCACGTCTCAGCGTCACCATCCCAGGCTCAATGTGCACGGCCAGGACATTGCCACCTGCGCCAACAACCTGAGGTACTTTGGCCCCGCGGCTGCCCTGCGGAGCCCACTCAGCAACCACGCTCAGAGACAGATGCCTGGCTCCAGCCCTGACCTCATCTCCACAGCCGTGGCAGCAGATGGCTGGAGAAGTTCTGAGCCTGCCCAGGGCCAGGCCGGCCCCTGGGGCTGCTGCCAGGCTGACCCCTACGACCCCTGCGTCCAGTGCAGGCCGGAGCAGTGCGGGCCCCTAGACAGTCCCTTTGCTGAGCCGGTGGGGAGGAGCCCCGACCTTTTCAAGTCACCAGCACACAATCTCCTCTCAGAAAATGCCCAAGGTTCTGAGAAAATGGAAGAAAACGAAGAATTCAGTGGCTGTAGGTCTGCCTCGTCCCTTGGCGTCCCTCATCACAACACCCCACCAGCGCTACCTCGAAAAACAAGGCCCCTTCAAAAGGTAAGGACAGCGGTGGGCGTCACTGCCTTTGTGGATGCCAGAGCCCGTCGTGGTACGTGCATTGTAAAACATACACAAGTGCACATTTTGTAAAAGGATGAGCTAACGAGAATAAACAGGAGCTTCTTTATTTTAAATATTTTCTCTTCACACTGCTTAAGTGACGGACTTAGAAATACATTTTGAGAACTATTGAACCAGTGGACTGATTGAAATGTACCTCATTTATAAATAGACAACCATATATTAGGGATATGAAATCAAAATCGCTTGGAAACCACTACTTTAGCCCAGCCCTGAAGGATGTTGCAAGAGGAAAGATCCGATTATAAAATAGGTTTGGTTAACATTGTATTCTCTGTCCCCTCTGGGAAATTCCTCGTGTACATTAGCAAGTCCTAGACTTTGAGAAATCATGCAGAAACCTAGTATAATCCAGCCTTTCCCTCACCTACTGGAACATCCTGCCTTTTATGAGTCTGCCGGCCATGGAGCACACACCTTATACATTTGGTCTTACTAGAACCACACTCCCAGAGAGCAGTTCGACTTCTCTCTACTGACATATACTCCCATGTGTACCTCTGGGGTAAAGGGCTCATCTTAGCAGTCAGGTACCTCCATCCCTGTCTTTCCTACTCAGAAAGCATCGGAATGCAAGTAGGTAAGAGTGACGTTAGAACTGACTTTCAAAGCACATTATCCTCGATCTTTGGTACAATTATTTGGACCCAATTACCCGCCTCACAGGGATTGTAGTAATGTGGTACGTAGTGTCGCTGTAGTTAAGGATGGTTGGTGTGAGTGTGGCTACTCCTGTGCACTTGAGGAGAAATGGAAGCTTCCCTGTGAGGGAAGATCATTTACTCAGACAGAACACCTACCCAGCCTTTCAGATCAACCACAGAACCCCGCAACCATGAGGCCTCCGATGGCCCTTGTCCGGCCAACATGCTGACTCAATAACGTAATGTACTAAGCACCTGCTCTATATGCAGCATTGTATTAATGGTGGAGTGAGGGGTACAGTACAACAAGATATGGTCTGACTCTCAAATGATGTATGTCTTAGTAGTGGAGATGATACACATAATGACTATCATGTCAGTGAAAGGGGGCTGGTATGTGAAAGGGGGAAAAGTAGTTGTTGGGCTTTGAACAATTGAAAGATCACTTCTTGGTGAGGTCTCTATGACAAAGCCTGGAACCACTAGTGACAATGATTGCATGAGCCTGCCCCCACTCCAAGACCTCTTCTCCAGTTTCCCCTCTCTGTCACTCACCTCTGGACATGCTCACGGAGCCTTCACCTCCCTGAGGGCAAAGATATGTTTTATTCAGTTCTGTATATCTTCCAGCATCTAGTGCAAGGCCTGTCACCATGGACACCCAGGAAAAGTTGCTAAAACAGTGAGTGAAGATATGTATGTTTAAAGATGACACTCAGAAAGCTACTACTGTATGCCTTTTGATGACTAACTCTTTGCAAGGACCGTGTGTGTGTGTGTGTGTGTGTGTGTGTGTGTGTGTGTGTGTGAGAGAGAGAGAGAGAGAGAGAGAGAGAGAGAGAGAGAGAGAGAGAAATAAAATTCTTTTCTCTTGGTTTTCTTTAGAGTGGAGATGAGTCCTCAGAAGAGGAAGAAGGGGAAGTAGATAGTGAAGTTGAATTTCCACGAAGACAGAGGTAAAATCGTCAAACACATGTGATTGGTTTCAGTGTAATCGGGGAAACCCTGAGGTTGCCACTTCCTGTTCAATTGCATATCACTTTCTAACAACCACCTTGTAAGGAAACTTGAACTCACTGTGTATATGGTCTCCTGTTCCCACATTTTGGCAACTGGCTATGCACAGCCAGTCCCAGATTATCAGAATTCTTTTCATGGGAACTTCAAGACGAGCATAAATACAGATTCAAGGTTACAACTAAGAATATAGTGGGCAGTTTATGAGAAAAGGCCATGTGTTCTATGGATAATTTTACTGGTTTCTAGTGTACCTCCTTGAATTAGTTTCCTTGGGCTGCCATAACGAAATGCCATAGACTAGGTAGCTGAAACAATGGAATTTTATTTCTCACATTTCTGGACGCTGGGAAGTCCAAGCTCAAAGTTCCTGGTGAGAACTCTCTTCCTGGTTTGCAAATAACAGCTTTCTCACTGTGTCCTCACATGTTTGGAGGTGGTGGGGGTGGAGGGTGGGGTGGGGTTGGGGGATGGGGGATGGGGGCTTTGAGGAGGAGAAGAGAGAGAGAGAGAGAGAGAGAGAGAGAGAGAGAGATCTTCCTCTTTTTGTAAGGCCACATCCTATAGGATTAGGGCCCTACCCTTTGGCCTCATTTAACCTTAATTACCTCCTAAAGACTGTGAAGATTCAGTTACATTGGAGGTTAAGGATTCAACATCTAAATCGGGAGGGGGGGGAGGAGAGAGGGAGATACACAGTTCAGTCCACAGCACTTTCCATGTCCTGAGATATTATCCTATATAATAAAGAGGTAATATGCAAATTGACCATCACTCCAACACAAGATGGACACCTCCATGTGGTCAAAGATGGCCACCACAAGATGGCCAGCAGGGAGGGCAGTTGTGGGTGACCAGGCCAGCAGGGGAGGACAGTTGGGAGTGACCAGGCTGGCAGGGGAGGGCAGTTGGGGGTGACCAGACCTGCAGGGGAGGGCAGTTGGGGGCGACCAGACAAGCAGGGGAGGGCAGTTGGGGTGACCAGGCCTGCAGGGGAGGGAAGTTGGGGATGACCAGGCCAGCAGGGGAGGGCAATTAGGGGCAACCAGGCCAGCAGGGGAGGGCAGTTAGGGGTGACCGGGCTGGCAGAGGAGGGCAGCTGGGGGGACCAGCCCAGCAAAAGAGGGCAGTTGGGGGCAACCAGGCTGGCAGGGGAGGGCAGTTAGGGGCAATCAGGCTGGCAGGGGAGCAGTTAGGCATCGATAAGGCTGGCAGGGGAGTGGTTAGGGGGTGACCAAGCTGGCAGGCAGAAGGGGTTAGGGGCAATCAGGCAGGCAGGCAGGCAAGCAGTTGGGAGCCAGCAGTCCTGGATTGTGAGAGGGGTCCCAGATTGGAGAGGGTGCAGGCTGGACTGAGGGACACTCCCCCGCCTCAGTGCACGAATTTCATGCACCAAGACTCTAGTATAATTAATTATAATCCTGGATAATAAAAGCCCAGCGACCATAATGGCAGAACAACCACTCAACCAGTCACTATGTGGTGCACCGACCACCTCTCAGTCCCTTTCCCCGGCCAGTAGGCTCCGACTGCCAATGGCAAACTGGGAACCAGGGTAGGTGGCAGCAGGGTCCTAGACTGGTGAGCAGGTAGAATGGGCTGACCTCTTGGTCCCTCCCCCTGGCCCACAGGTTCTGATTGCTGATGGCAAACAGGGAACCAGAGTGGGTGGCGGGGGATGTGGGCGGTGCCAGGCCAAGGCCCCTGCCTCGCCAGTCACCCCACACACAAAGGGCAACCCGCAGCAGGGGTGGGGCTGGCAAGCGGGTGGGAACAGCTGACCTCTCGGTCCCTCCCCCCCGGCCAGCAGGCTCCCATTGCCTTATGTTGAACAGGGAACCGGGGTGGGTGGCAGTGGAGGGTGTGGGGCCAGCTGCCGGCAGCCGGGGAAGATAGCCCTGATCGTAGGCTAGGCCTAGGGACCATACCTGTGCACGATTTCGTGCACCGGGCCTCTAGTTAGATTATAATTGGATTAGATGAGCTGAGTCCTCCTTCAACCCAGCCTTAGAAAGAGCTTCCTGCTTAGCCAGCGATAATAATTTTTCTTGTAGGATTAAAGAAGGACCACACACTCCTCTACGTCTAGAACAGGGCTGCTCCTATGCAGGAGTAGGAAAGGTCGTTTTCCTCCCAGGAGGCCTTTTCTGCTAATAGGCATTTTGTTCTTTAAAAGTGAAGCTCTAAGGATCCCCGGAAGGTTTGTGTACCTGCCCAGAAACAGGAATTTCCTGCAAACGAAGGCTCTCCTAATCCTTTGGTAAATTGTATTCTGGGTCCCCATGCTCTACACAAAACTGAAATATGTTCTCATCTCTGAGCTATACCTGTCGTGAACAGTAGTTTCCTCCTATGCAACCAGATTGCGCCTGAGTAAAACGAAATCACTCGCTAGCATCACAATGATGTTACCTCCAGCTTTTGTTCCTGTGACACACCATGAACTCAGCCCGCCTAATGGCTTCCCACCTTTTCTTGCTATGATGCAAATTATATTTTTACCACATGGTTTTGCTTTTTATAACGTTCTTCTCCCTGTCTCCCTTCTGGATTACCAGCCTTGAGAAGTTGCGTGACTCTTACCTTCACTTCCATTTCCCACAGTGGCTCTTCATGTGACCTTGATCCCCCACCCACGACCTGGCCTGGTCATCAGCCAGGCTCAGATCATCTGCCATCAAAATGACTTTGTACTAAGAAATACAGACAGATCAGACAATGCCAGAGGGAAAAGGCAGTCTTCTTTTGTTATTTTTTCTGTTTTGTTTCTAAACCAGTATACACTAACAGCATTCTTATTTACTAAACTACTTGTAAACCATGGGAAAGAAGTGAGGAACTTTTGCAAATTCTCCTCCTTACGCCCTCCCCACCCCCCGAAACTTTGCCTTTATCAGAATGAAACCCCAGTGCTAACTGGAATGAGCCACTGGCTGGCTGGGCAGTGTCCCCAGCTGCAAGGTGAATGTTGCTTCCAAGCTCTTTTATGTTGGAGTTAGTTTGACAGAGTGGTGAAGGCTGCCATGCCCAGCGGCTGAAGCAGCTGAATGGGCGATGCAATGGGGTGGAGTGAGGTAGAGAAGGACACTGAGCAGAGTGTGCAGAGACCCACCCACGCCACAGCTCTGCCTTGGCGAATGGTGTGACCTTGCACAAGTCACTTTCCTTCTCTGCCTCTAGTTTTCTGATCTGGGAAATGAGTTAGACCAGAGAATCTTCCAAGTCTCTTTCACCTGCGAGAACCTGGGATTCTGTAAGAAACATAATTTCCATGCATAGGTATACACAGCATGATTAGATCAGCTGATATTTTTCAAGACCAATAGTAACCCTCAGCTTTGGACATTAGCCACATCAGCATGTAAATGTCCTTCTTGGTTGCTTTCAAATTAAATTATTTCAGTCTATCTGGATTTGAATCTCCCTGAAGGGCATGGAAAAAAACTAGGTGACCCCCTCCCTGGGACTGTGATGGACGGACAAGGTAAGCAAGGTGGTGGTTCCTGGGATGAAATTCTTCTGGTCCTTTGTGGTTCTAGGCCCCATCGCTGCATCAGAAGCTGCCAGTCGTATTCAACCTTTAGCTCTGAGAATTTCTCTGTGTCCGATGGCGAGGAGGGAAATACCAGTGATCACTCAAACAGTCCTGATGAGTTTGCTGATAAACTTGAAGACCGCCTGGCAGAGAGGCTCGATGACCTGCTGTCCCAGACGCCGGAGATTCCCATCGAGATCTCCTCGCATTCAGATGGGCTCTCTGACAAGGAGTGTGCCGTGCGCCGCGTGAAGACGCAGATGTCTCTGGGCAAGCTGTGTGTAGAGCAGCGTGGCTACGAGGTGCGGGCCCCTCCTTTCTCCTCCTCTCGGCACTGTTCCCTTCCTGTAGCTCTTTTGAGTTATGACAGGCCGAGTCCTGAGGTCCTGTACAATTGTCATTGAGTATATGAGGTACTACAGCTGCCTCCAAGAAGTAAGTAAAAGTACACTGAGCAACAGCGCTCCTAAAAATGGGGGTAGAGCTCCCAAATGAGGCACAAACATTGAATGGCTCAGGAACCCTCCCTTCCAATATTGAACTCCAACATCACCTCCTCCTGGCCTCATCGCCCAGTCTGGTGAAGGGTATGAACGTCCCTCTTCCCTGTCCCCACTGTCCCCTAATGAGGCTATCATAGCACAGGTACCACTTTAGTTCATGGTCAGTACTGCCTTTCGAGAGGCAGGATAGCACAGGGGTTGAAATTGTGTCTCCTGGAATCTGACTGCCCAGATCAAACCCCAGCCTTTCCACTTACTTACTGTGTGCTGTTGGGCAAGTCACTTAAATTCTCCATGGGTCAGTTTTCTTATCTGTAAAATGGGTACGGTAACAGCATCTATCTCATGGGGCTGTTGTAAGGATTAAATGGATTAATAATGGGCTCTCTGACAAGGAGTGTGCCGTGCCTGGAACATAGTAGACGCTGTACAGTGTGGTTGTGATGGTACTGTTATCATTGTCATAATCGTTGTCATGAACATCATCTTTACATGTCTTCTTTTTCTGTAAGCCCCACCAGGACAGGACCTAGTCTCATTTTTGTAGCCCAAAGCCTGTCATGTGGGAGGTGTTCCATATATGTTTACTGAGTGGCTGCAAACATGAACTAAGGTTTTATTTTGTCTTGACTTTGCAGAATCCTATGCAGTTTGAAGAATCGGACTGTGACTCTTCAGATGGGGAGTGTTCTGATGCCACAGTGAGGACCAATAAATACTACAGCTCTGCTACTTGGTAATGAGAGGACACCCATCCTGAAGATGACGTGACAATACTGATGTTTCAGATCCACCCCACCCCGATTCCTCCCGCTCTCCCCCTGCCTTTTTGTCTGGGAAGAGAGCTGCCCCATCTTTCTTACCCCTAGAAATAAGCTGCAATAACAGGAACATGAGACTTCGCAAATCTCTGGAAAAAAAAATATCCAAATGAAACTAAGTCTCACTGAACATTTCAATCAAGAATGGCAGGGATCTATTTTATTGAATATTCTAGCTACTGTAACATTGATATTTATTTTTGTTTGACATTTTAACACTTTGTACTGTAAAGATTGAACTATATATGATAGAGAGAGAGACAATAATTTCTTGGGGGGAAAAAGAGAGAGAGAGAAAGGAAGAAAGAAGTGAAATTTAGAAGCAACATTCTTGGTAATTTGTGGGGCCAAGAGGTATTATTGCTACTTGAACAGGGGACCAGTTCTTTTGACCATAAGTGACTGAAGAAGAGCCAGAGCAAGACATGTTGAGCATTTTAGAAAACAAAGAACAGCAAAAGAAAAGCAATTCCGGGTAACTTGTGAACAGACCACATTTAAGTTCAACCAGCTTATCCTTTGGGTGATGAAAATTATCTAGAAAAGTTTGGTAACCAGATACTTGCACCCAAGGTCTTTGAGGGCATGTGCTTCCTCTAGGAGGAAAAAAAAAACTGTATATGTGAAAACTGGTTTCATTTTTATTTATTTTAAGCAGCATTTAGTTGTGAAACTTATGGATAGAGTCGAATCTTCCTTGACAAACATTTACCTTTTAAATGCTGTCATTGCCATTACCTTGACAAATGTGTGACCTTGACCAATGTGCCATTTCCTCATAGCCATTTCCTTTCCACCTGGTGACCGCTTCCTTTAGGAAAAAGGGGAGGGCTGAGAAGAAGAGAAGGACAAGAGAAAAAGGAAACTGACGACAGTGTTAGAAAAGCAAACGTGGAATTTGTAAAAGTACGTTGTCAGAACCTCTCAGTTCCGCTCGTCCAGAAGGTGGAGCTAGCCCTCTGTGGAACCAGGTCGCTTGTCTACTAGAGTCATATTGATTCAAACAGGAGAACAGACTTTGAAGGCAGCTAGGGTGTGTGTGAGTCTGTCCAATGTCCAATCACAAACCATTCCCTTGTTTTTACTTATTAACTCATTCTATCCTGTAAGCTTTAGTGACTGGCTTCCACTATCAGAATAAGGGCAAAATAAGCAAGTTGCAAAAGACACCCCCACCACAGTATCCCAGCACAATAGCATTTTTGTTCAAAGCTGTTTGTGAAAGGTCTTTTACTTTTCTTCGGATGAACGCAGTTTTAAATCACTGGATTTGGGAATTTGTGCAAAGAATAACTGATGCTGAGCAGCAATTGGGAAGATTTTGCCTTTTCCAAAGCATGAGGTCCTTCCTATCCAGGGTCATGGGCTCTGAAAAGCATGCCAAGGTACATCATGGTACCTCAGCTGTAAGCCAATTTTTATGTAGAATTTTATATAAAAACAGATGTCAGCCTCGTTCCTGTCTCTGTCTCCAAGATAGATTACTGTCAAACAATGTCTCTAGGCTCAGAATCTGAAGGCGATGGCTAGAGTCTTGGACACGGCATCGTGTTGGACATTAGGAGAGACTTACACATATTGGCATTAAACCATTCCAGTGCAGGTGGAAACGTCGCCCTCCGCTGGGTTTCACTGATTGCATCAGCCAAAAAGGAGTCAGGAGGGAATTGAGAGCAGTTCCTTTTGCTTGTCTGATCCCTCATTTGTTTACAATTTATGTTGAGATATTAATTTAAAATTTACTGTCTTTTAATTTATAGCTCTTAAGTAAGATGAAGGAAAATGTCTAACTTATACAGAGAACAGTATTGTTTGCATTAAATTATTCCATTTTGTATACATTCTGTAGCTGGACTACATGAAAGATCTTAAGTTATGGCATTATTATCATTGTTATTTTATTTTATAATAATTATTGTCATTCTCATTTTCTGTGGATCAGAAGGAGTGGTTTACAGTGTAGCACAATGATTGTGTTTATCGCTAACCATGAATTACCGTGAATTGTTATGATTTTTATGAAGGAATGAAAATGAGACTGCCACTCGGGAGCTCTCCAGTATTCATCTTAGGTGCATTCCCTCATTTTCTGTGTGCAACAATCATCTGAGGATGTGTGCTCTGCCCTGGAGCCCAGTGGGCACATGGTGACTTTGACTTGATTGTGGAAGCTCCTGGGTGGGCAGATGACTGAATGGATGGACAAATAGTTCAAAGGCTGTAATATTTCTCAAGTTTCTTAAGAAATAAAATCATGAGACTACACTAGAAGCAAAAAGAGAATTATTTAAAGCATGAGGTCCTTCCTATCCAGGGTCATGGGCTCTGAAAAGCATGCCAAGGTACATCATGGTACCTCAGCTGTAAGCCAATTTTTATGTAGAATTTTATATAAAAACAGATGTCAGCCTCGTTCCTGTCTCTGTCTCCAAGATAGATTACTGTCAAACAATGTCTCTAGGCTCAGAATCTGAAGGCGATGGCTAGAGTCTTGGACACGGCATCGTGTTGGACATTTGGAAAGACTTACACATATTGGCATTAAACCATTTGGAGGGACAGACATAGAGAATTTCTGCATGGGGCCCATGGGTTAGAGAGTTCCAAGAACTGGTAGCATAGTTTGTCATCTTGTTCCTGCCAGATCCCACAAAACCAACCTGCTTTTTCGTAGTTGGGAGTAGCAGAAAAACTTTATATATATATATATATATATATATATATATATATATATATATATATAGTCATGACATAAAATGCCTAGCTGTGATGTCATCCTGTAACAAGACTAAAGAAATTCTAGGAAGGCTTGGTCACTCAGCGGCTCTTAGGGCTGAAAAAGTACTCCCTTGAAGAGCCCTATTTTGCATCCTCTTTCTTCAGACCACATTATACTATGACTATCTCTGGATCATTACTTCTGGGAAAAGATAAACTACAACTCTGTGTCCGCTTTCTGCCCAACATAAAACACTGACACTTCAGCTGGTCTGGTTCTTGCCCACCCGTGGTGGCAAAAAACAAACATGACGGTCAATGTCTGTCTTATATCTCCCAGTCACGATCTTCCTAGGAAACCCCCACCTGACACCTCATATTATTAATAAATGTCCTGATTTCCCATCTTGACTGTCTGTCATGACAGTGCCATATACCTACCTGGGATAACTGTATGAGCATGTTAGGGTCATATACAGCATTGACTCTTCAGTCATTCATTGCATGGTCAGGAGTTTAATAAAGTTCCACATTAAACATTGTGTTTATTTTTCAGTAGAAGTGACTAGGGGCTTCATAGAAGAACAGTGTCTTTAGGTCAAAAAGAGAACTGCCTTCTCTATCCCAGCCTTGCCCTTTATTGCTGGCCAGAGGCCCCAGGACAATTTTGAGTTGGTGTGTTTGAGAACTCTTCTGAAGAGCATTGAATCAAGAACTCAGGAAATTTAAAAACGAATTCTTCAGTCCTGATGACTATGAACCTCACAGGACTGTGATTTTTAAGCTTCATTGTTGATCGAAAGTTTAACCCCCTTGGGATGAATGTCCACATTCATTTAGCATCTGTTTTTGACAGACTGCAAGATGATGCGTTTTAATTTGGATTGCAGATGGGCATTTGTTTCTGATTTCCATCTATTTCTAGATCATGTCTTCTGAATAACAATTCCTCTTCAAATTGCTTAGCAGATGTTGAGGTATTTTGGTTAAAAACAAGGCTGATGGAGTGCTGGCTGCATAGGGCAAAGGGTGCATTTGGGGGTGTGGCACCAGGTACTGCAGGTTCCAGGCTCCACAGAACCTGAGGCTCAGCTGGAAAGGGGCCCATGGCAGAAGGTGAGCCCTCTTGTCATGCATATTTGTTTCTTACAAACTAAGGTTCACAGTCTACTCAGCTCTAGAACAGAAACGTATAGGGTAAGCCGTCCTAGTCCCACTAGCATTTTGCAGCTACACATGTAAAGCTCTAGGAAGCTTTTCTCACGTTCCAGAAGGGGCAGGGATTGGTAGCGGTATTAACCTTTAGCCTCCTTAGTGCCCTCTCACAGGAGGACACTGCCTAAGGCAGGTGCTAGGAGTGGAGCTAGGGAAAGATCATCTTATTGTCTTCAGGGAACCCCACTCCCCACCATTTCTCTTTTCTCAATGCAGGTAAAAGGTGTACTTTCAAGGCTGCCCAGCCACACTTTGCTCCATCCCCCGCATGTTGAACCTTTGCACATTGACAGGCTTGTGGAAGTAGAGGCTAGTGCATAGCAGCGAGTGTCAGGGAAGATGTGCTTGGTTCAATTACCTGAATGGCACTAATGAAGCTCTTTACAAGGCCTGGGAGTCCCAGGCTACCTGTTCAATGTTTTGTGCTTTGTCAGACCTTTCAAGCAAGCCCCTTTGTCAGGGTGGGTCAGATGTCCTTGAGCTGGACCACACCTGAAGAATTCTTGTCCTCACTGGCTGGTGGGCAGGACTCCTGAGAATGGTTTTCGTCCTGTAGAATCAGGAGTAGCCAGATGATGTTGAGTTGATGTCATTGCTGCAAACTTCTCTCTCTTCCTGAAAAACTAAGAATGTGGAGTTTAGGGGGGGGGGGGGAGAATTTTTTTTAATAAACCTGGTCAAAGAGTTTAAATAAATAAATAAATAAATAAATAAATAAATAAATAAGTTGCTTAGCAGAGAAACTGAGAAGCCTGCATCCTCTTTGAAATTATAATAGGCTTTAAAGTTTAGATCTATTTGGAGGATGTGGGGAGCACCTACTCGGAAAAGTGAAGACGCTAGCTCTGTTGTAAGATGACCTGGAATGGCCTACTTGAAGTTCAGGTATTTTAAAAGTTCAGTATCAACAACTCTATTCTTCAAGGATTAAGGATATTTTTAGTACTAGACATCCATTTCAGGGATTCTTTGTGCTAAATGTCCCTCTTGTCCTAAATAATGGATTTGATGGTTTGGGGTTTTCCTGGTACCAACCAATTTTAAAAGCCCGCCCACTGTGGAGCACTGACATCCTTTCAGTGTAAGTGCATTCTTATTGATCAAGTAATTTACTCTTGTTCCCCCATCCCCTTATGTCTCATTTGTTTCCCCTTAAAATGTTCCTGCTTGAAGTTCCTGGAACTGAATTCTCCAAAATAGGACATAACACTTGGAAACCTAGGAATTCCCGCTCTGCTCTGCAGTAGTGCGCTGTTATTTTGTTTTGCCACTAAGCCAGAAACCAAAATACCACCACCTACAATCTACACTCTAAACACCCAAGACCAACATTATTCACTGCTCACCACGTTCAGAGCCTCTTACAACACAGCACAGGGAGCAACAACTACCACTTGTTAGAACGGCTGTGCAGGGAGAGATGTTTACCATCCCAGCTCTAAGCTCATAATTAGTTTCCTAACAGTGGTTTGAGATCTGGAGTTAGCCCCGACGGGAAAATGACAGGTCACACCAGTGTTCTCCTTATGGACCCCACCCTATGGCTCTCAGGGGGCAGCACCATCGGCAGGAAAAGGCCACCTGCCTCCACCCCTGCCCTTTGGGACTACAATTCCAATTGAATCATCTCCAATTGCTGACCAATTGAATTCCAAAATGTGTCTCTTCACTCACTTTATTTCATTGTGTTAAATAAGCATGTTCCTCCCTCACCTTCTATATACACTTAATATGTTAAATCCCAGTTACTAATGTGTCAAAACAATGTGGCATTCTTTTTAAGACCTTGACTTGTACTGTCAGTATGAATGTAGTGCCTCTCCGGGTTGCAAGATTTTCCTTCCTTGCAGATTTCATAGAATAAATGTCCTAGTATATTCACACCACCAATGTTACCAACAGACTAGCACACAAGAATCACATGAGTCTGCTTGTTTGCATGTTACAGCCAATAGTGCAAGCACCTTTTCAAACTGAATGAACTAGACTGCTGAGTAGAGGACCCCTGTGGAAACTGGAACACTTCTCTGGGACAGGTGGCAGAAGAGGGGAGCTCTGCAATCACTTCTCTGAGAAGGAGGGTTACCTCAAAGAAGTTAGGGCTTTGACTAACTGTCACATGACCAGAGCATGATGGCAGGATTTCACGTGATGGCAAGGCCACTGTAAGGAAACTCCTGGCAGAATCACAGACCTACTCTCCAGCCACTTCACAGCACCAGGGAATGCTGGCTCCTGGCTGCTGCCCAGTGGCCAGGCAGGCAGGGTCCTCCAATGGTTGCCTAGAGGAGGGAACCCCAATCAGGGTCCCTTACTGACTATGTCACCCAGAGGGCTCTTCTGACTCCGGAAGTGGGAAGACTGACTTCGATTCTTTATTGCAATAATCTGAGTTCCCTATCAGTTTGGAGCAAATTAACTTCTTTTTTGTGGTCAGGTCTCAAAACGAACCCCCTCATCTGTTTCCCTGTGGTTGCAGTCCTGTTAGTTCCTCTACACCTTGTTGGTTTGATGCCAGCTCGCTTTGCACCAAACAACTGTACAGCAATGGGAACAAGAGCGACTACCAAAGCAAACAAATGCGCGGGATTAAACAAAAAGTGTACTTCGCTGTGTTTGGTCGTCTTTTCCTAAAGGTACTGGTTGTCTCCTGAGAGCCGCCTTCACAAATCTCAGCATGTCAGAACTTGGGGAAAGGAGGACGTCACACGACTGGGTTTCCTGCAGCCAGGAAAAGCAACTGATGGCAAAGCCGGTCTCTGTGGCTCTTGTTGGACACATCACAGAAGGAAGAGAGCACCGCTGTTTTGTTATAGTCTCTTCTTGGTTATTCTGTCATAGCCTAGACCTACTTCATCCCTCTGGTTTCCCTCCTGCCCACCTTATAGTTAGTAAGTGTTACTAGTTACCCCACTATCAAGTGAGCAGAGAGAGGGGAACGGTGAAAATGAGAATGTGGCTTCTAAAAAACAATGTTGGTAAAAGGCCCGAGAGTGGAGAGCTGGAACACCGTTTTGGACTGTCTGATTCTGAGCCAGTCCTGACTCCCACTGGCGAAGGAAATTGAAAGTAAGCAACATGTACAAACACATACCCCAGAGCATTTATAGCCTTTATTTGGGAGCTTGCTTTGCCTGTAAACTCACAGCCGATAAGGCACATTGTTGCAGATCATGGGGGATGAGGGAGAGAGGGTCCTGGTAAAGGACAAAGTGGGACAGCGTCCTGGTCCTCCCTCCCTCCCCGGCTCCAGGAGCAAAAAGCCACAGGTTTCCAAGTCCAGGTGGCATCCTCTTCACCCCCACCCTTGTTATCAAGCT